TCCAAAATATTTTGGAGACCTGTTGTTGCCTCCTCAGTTAGTTTATACCATGTGGTCACCTTTAATCAAGATAGTAGTGAAGTCACATGTCAACCACCCTCTCCAATCCTAGCAAAGATGACTGCCAGCAATGTGGCTGCTCTGTCCCAATGGGGGACAGTGGCTAAAATGGCAGCAAGCCACATGTTGCTTATAGCCCAAGATGTCACTGTGCAACATGGTTCCTTTAAGAATACCAGCACTTGAAAGGCAAAGGCCACAGATTTCTGTGAATTCATGGCCAGCCTGGTCTACATAGTGAGTTCCAGGACAGCCAAGGCCACACAGTGCAATCCTGTCTCAAAAAAACAAAACCAACCCCCCCCCCAAAAAAAAAGATTACCTATGTTTAGATTTTATGAGATTTTATTTATTATGTATACAGGTATCTGCATGCATGCTTGCACACCAGAAGAGGGCACCAGCTCTCATTACAGATGGTTGTGAGCCACCATGTGGTTGCTGAGAATTGAACTCAGGACCTCTGGAAGAGCAGTCAGTGCTCTTAATCTCTGAGCTATCTCTCCAGGCCCCCATGTATAGATTTTTAACTATCAATGCTTTTTATTATGAGGTTTGGGGTTTTTTGTTTGGTTGGTTGGTTGATTGGTTGGTTGGTTGGTTGTTTGTTTGTTTGTTTTGGTTTGGTTTTTCAACTCAGGGTTTCTCTGTTGTGGTGGTTCGAAGGAAAATGGCCCCCAAAGGGAGTGGCCCTATTTGGAGTTATGACCTTGTTGGAGTAGGTGTGCTGGAGGAAGTATGTCACTGTGGAGGCAGGCTTTGATGTCTCAAATATGCTCAAGCCGTGCCTAGTGTCCTAGACCACTTTCTATTACCTGCAAGAGGTAGGACTCTCAGCTCCTTCTCCAGCACCATGTCTGCCTGCATGCCACCATGTCCCACCATGATGATAATGTACTGAACCTCTGAACTGTAAGCCACCCTAATTAAATGTTTTCCATTATTATAAGTATTGCTGTGGTCATGGTGTCTCTTCACGGCAGTAGAAACTTTAACTAAGGCAGCTGGCTGTCCTGGATCTGGCTTTGTAGGCTGACCTAAAATTCAAATCTGCCTGCCTCTGCTTCCCAGGTGCTGGAATTAAAGGCATGTGCCACCTCTGCCTGGCAATAGTCTTAAAAATCTTAAGATAAGGTTCATATCTTAGAAAAACTTTAAGCAGTTAAATGAAACCAACAGTCTAATTTTTTTTGGCTGATTTGCTTTGCTCTCTTTTCTCTGTCATAGAATGAGGTGTCTTGCCTGACTTAGGACAGAAAGGAAACTTTTAAATAAGCATACTTGAGTCTAGAGACGGGAAAACCATTACCCAATTCCAGATCCAACTTTTCAATATAGTAGAACAACATAAAAACAACTTTAATATTATCCATATCACATCAAAAGACTTTTTAATCCCTGATAAACTGAATCCAGTGACCAGAAGGCTCAGAGATAAGGAATTCTGAGCCCTGGTCATCGAAGCAGCCATGGCAAGCAGCAGCAGTGGAGGCCAGTGGCTGGTGATGTTAGGAACACTAAAAACAAAACCAATAAACACAGAAGACAGAAAGCTCACACACTCAAAGGAGACAAGTCAGAAACAAAACATGCAGTGGCCACCATCATTCACACACTCAATTGAGCCTGACCCATTTCCGTCTCAACTCCCATGTATGCAACAAAACTTCCGCAAAGACCAGACAGACAAGACATTCTTAGCATTGAGGTTGGAGGAAGCTACTGGGATGTTGATGGCCGCGATAACGGGATTCCAGTTCCGCAGCATTCCAACCCTCCACAATCACAGAGCGAGAATCAGTCTGTACAATCTTCAGCGTAGATAACACCTTCTTCAGGGAAGGTCAGGTCAGGTCACAGGGATATCAGGCTGTAAGTGGGACTTGCCGGACAGGAAGAAAGCACCTTACCTTACAGGAGGACCAGAGAATTACTGTAGGTGCCTCGTGCAGGGACACAGTGGGAAGGAGGAATGTGGACCAAAGGAAAGACAAGAAGAGAGTGAGTAACAAGAATTGAATTTGCCCTCCTGTCTGGGGCATGAAAACATGAGGCAGACGGCTTAAGACTGTCATGTGTACGAAGTTAGACAATAGGCAACAACAACAGACAGTGTCCCCTGAGATAGGAAACAAAGTGAACCCTGAGAAAGAGCTTCGGTGCCTTGGCACAGGGAGGGAGAACCAAGGCAGAGTCCAGAGAGCTCTGCGAAGCAAGCAGGCAGAGACAGAGGGCAAGGCTTGTGGTGTTTTAGGAGAGCATCGGGGTCTAGAGATGTGAAGAGGAGCCCCTCCCATCTTCAGCTGAAGACTGAGTAACACACACAGAGCACGGGAGTTACTTGGAAGGATATGGAGGAAGCTTTGTGGCTCCCAGAGCTGGAAATAGTTACTGCCTTCGTAGTACAAGGCACTCGGAAGAGCTGGGGCTGCATGGCAGAAGAGGCAAGACCTCACTCAGAAGCCTCTTGCCAAAGCCATTTTGGAGGGTTCTGTCCCCAGCAGCTGACCCCCGTTCAAAGGCTCCATCTGCTAATACCATCAACACCTGAATTGGGGGAGGCAATGCTGGGAGTGGCAGTGCACTCCAGTAATCTCAGTACTTGAGAGGGAGAGGCAGGAGGATTGTTGCAAGTTTAAGGCCAGCCTAGGCCATGGGCAAGTTCCAAACCAGCCATGGATATATAAAGAGTGCTTGTCTCAAAAAAAAAAACAAAAAAAACAAAAAAAACTGATGGGGGGCACAAATATTCATGTCCATAACAGTATGGCAACTTTAAGGTCAACAAATTTCACAGCCTAAATTAAACAGATGCATTCCTTGAGTAATATAATAAAGAATATTTCAGGGCTTCTTACATTTTTTTCTATTCAAGGCCCCTTTTTGCTTAAGAATTTTTTTTACAAGACCCTGGGTAAATAGGTATATAAAATAGGTATACAGATTAAATATTTACCAACAATAAATCATAAGCATTTTCATTTTAAAACAAGTTTTAGGAACCAGCAGGATGGCTCAGCTTATAAAGTAGCATACTGCCAAGTCTAAAGATAGATTCCCTGAGAAACCACATGGTGGAAGGAAAGAACCAACTCCCGAGAGTTGTTCCCTGACCTCTACATGTGTGCACGGCATGTGCAAATATAGTTTTAATCACAAAAATTAAAACAATTCTTTGGCATACATGTGTGTTACCATTTATTAGAGGTGAAAGATGGGGTCTGGAGAAATGGGTTAATGATTAAGAACACTTATTGTTCTTATAGAGGAACTGAGTGTGTCTTCCAGCACCCTTTTCAAGCAGTACACAAATACCCAAAACTCCAGTCTGGGAGATCAGATGCCCTCTTCTGGCCCCTACTGGTACTGCATTCACATGCACAAACCGACACACAGGCACACTTAGTTAAAAATAAAGATGTCTTTATTTCAAGATGAAAATAAATATGCTTTTTTATTTATGAATAAATGATTAAATCTTGCCTGCATATAGCATCTTCAATGTTTTTAGGGTTGATCAGTATTTTTATTTTTTAGGGCTAGGAATGTAGTTCAGTTGGTAGAGTATTCATTGTGTCCCGTGTTTGATCCACACCATTGCAAAAACCAGGTGTGATATATGCCTATCATCCCAACACTCTAAAAGTAAAAACTGCAGGTCACTCTTAGTGACCTAATATGTTTGAGGCTACCCTGGGCTACATGAAACTCAATCTCCAATTTTTAGAAAGTTTATTATTGTCAATGCTGAGAACACCACTTTACATAAATATGTACTATAAAATAGCAAAGAATACTTAGGGTCACTTAAAACATTTGAAAATTCTGTCCTGATCTCAAGCCAAAATTCATTTAGCTTCTCTTTTTGCAACTCAACTAGCAGCTCAAACACAGTATTGATATGTACTCATTTGAAACTTACATGGTGAGGGAGGTATGATGGTGGGAAAATATTAGAAGTCTTTGTTTCCCTCTGAAACCACTGTGTTTCTACAATAACAGGAAACTGAATGCCCAATAAGAATAGTGCAATTCGTAACATTTGGGAGTCTCAAACCTGAGCCAAGGCATTCCAGGAAATGTTTATTGGGGCCGAGTAGCCTGACAGTGGACCAATACCTAGTGTAAATGCTGTGTGTTCAGGACCAAAACTGAATGCATTTGCACAGTGCAAGACAGGCAAACACCACCAGAAATAACTTGGATTCATTATGTTCTTTATTTTTTAGTTAATCTGGGGTTGCAGGTCTGGCAAGATGGCTCAGCAGTTAAAGGTGCTTGTTCTATAAGCCTGACAGCTCTTCTCTCTCTGTCTCTGTCTCTGTCTCTGTCTCTCTGTCTCTCTGTCTCTCTCTCTCCTCTCTCTGTCTGTCTGTCTCTCTCTGTCTCTGACTCTCTCTCTGTCTCTCTCTGTCTCTGACTCTCTCCTCTCTGTCTGCTCTCTGTCTCTCTCTGTCTCTGTCTCTCTGTCTGTCTCTCTCCTCTGTCTCTCTCTCTCTCTCTCTCTCTCTCTCTCTGTCTCTCTCTCGCCTCCCACCACCACCACCTTCTGAGTCCCAAAACTCTTTGGTGCTCTGCCATACCCATTCACGATGTCATGGAAACTTTTGTGGCTCAGCTTCTAAACACAGCAACCTGCCCTCAGCTGCGGTAAGGCAGCAAAACCCCAAAGAGTTGTTATGATAGGGACTGGAACCAACATGCAGCTGAAGGAGAGTGGCTAGGCTGACCCTCCCCACAGGAAACCCACAGGGTTAGAAACACCAGTGGGACAGGATAGACCGGAAGCTGTCCATTGTACTGCCTGTATGGGACTGAGGAAAGGAAGTGTTGAAGGGAGACCACAGGTGGGCAAGATCCCAGCCAAGCTAGGACAAACTCCCAACCCATGGCTTGTAAAACACTGGTGCTTGCTGACTGAAAAAACACACCTTTATTGGTTGAGCACAGAGGGAAGGCACACTTGATAATGATGTTCTGAGAGGCCCTGGTCTCGGGATCATTTGCTCCGGGGCCAGTTCCCTCCAAGACGGCTGTATTGGGTATCATCACGATCTCGGAGAGGCTGAGATGAGAAGCACGACACCGAGTCAGCATTTGAGCTCTTCTCAGCACCCACGCCTGACTTCTCCAGACATCCAAGGATGAACCACTGGCCTCCCAGGACTCTCCACACATCTCACACCCGTCCTTCAGGTCTCTTAGTCCTCACTCCCTTCTCCCATTCTTGACTCCTCCCTCAAGGCTTACCTGATACAGCTGCTCATTCTTCAACAGAGCTTGAATGTCAGAAGCTAGAAGAAAGGGAAGAGAGTCATTGGGATCTGGGAAAGAGGAGACAATGGGACCTGTGAACACTGCAGGGGGGACTCTGAAGTCAGTCACACCTCACCCTCAGAAGTCTGCATGAGCATCATGGGCATACATGTTCTTTCAGCACCCTGTGGTATGAGTCCTAGGGACTAGATAAAGCCCTACCTCCAGCCCTTCTTTCAGCCAGTTCATAAGCTCACACACATGGGTGAACACACACACACACACACACACACACACACACACACACAGAGAGAGAGAGAGAGAGAGAGAGAGAGAGAGAGAGAGAGAGCCCTTTCACTAACCCCCAGAGAGCCTTCCAGTCTCATGTCCTGCAAAGCAGTAGACTCCTAAAGCCAGGAGCAGAGTGGCAATGAGGTCAGTGATGATGACGCCAGCCACGGTGGCTGAGTCCAGCTCCACACAGTTCTGGCACACTGTTGGGGAGAAGAGGAAGAAAGTTCTCAAGGTCAGGGAACCATCTCTGCTCCTGGAAAGACCCTAGGTTCCCCATTCCAAGACCCACATTCAGTGAGATGGTGATGACCTTGCTACTTCCATCTCCACCCTCATCCCAGGGAATTGCTGAAGAGAAACATGACATAACTTCAACTTCATGGGACTTGAACTGAGGAGTTGACTAAGCCCCTCTCCAAGGCAGCCCCTGACTCCTGCCTGTCTTAGTCAAATTCTCCCTGACAAATCTGGTTCAGGCCACCATGAGTGCCTTTGGTTTGTTTAGAGAATAAATAAGTTCACCACAGTCTACTTTTAGCCAGAATGCTCTCACATCTAGCAGACCCATGATTTCATCCCACTGGGTCCAGGAAGCACATACTTCGGTAATATACTTGTACAGTAGACACTTCCTTTGCCAGATTTTCTGTCCCAGTGCACTCATACAAGCCTCGTGGGTCCAGGATGCCTTTTCCCAGTTTCAGTATTTTATTTTCAGCAAACCATTCTTCCGCCGTTCCCTCTAGATGCACAATGCTGGTATTGCAACTCACAAACACTTGGTCCTCATATTCAGTCACTGTTATCTTGAAGAAGCTCCCTAAGAGGGAAAACACCACAGTCAGAGCAGCTCTCTGGTGTGCAGCTGACCATCATTCTGTTGTAGTGCATACTTATGGACCACTTGGGTAGTAAGGTATATGATTCCTAGAGAAAGGGGCAGAAGTGACCAGAGGAAGACTTCAGGAAGTTCTCCAGGAACTGTAGGGCTGTGAAAGACATGAGGCCATAGTCCAAGCAGAAGAGGGATTGTCTAAATTATCTTTAACTGTCAGCTTACCTCAGCCTAAAGTCACCTGAAAAGAGACTCTAATTGAGGGATCGCCTACATGAGATTGGCCCTGTGGACATGTCTAATATAAGGGATTGTCTTGATACCCTTACTGATGCAGGGGAGTCAAGACCACTGTAAGTGGCACCATTCCTTGGGCAGGTGGGTCTGGGCTATATAAGAAAGCTAGCTAGCTGGGCAGTGGTGGAGCACGCTTTTAATCCCAGCACTCTGGAGACAGAGGCAAGTGGATCTCTGTGAGTTAGAAGCCAGCCTGGTCTACAGATCGAGTTCCAGGACAGGCTCTAAAACGAGGGAGAGAGGGAAAAAGGGAGGGAGGGAGGGAGGAAGGAAGGAAGGAAGGAAGGAAGGAAGGAAGGAAGGAAGGAAGGAAGGAAGGAAAGCTAGCTGTACAAGCAAGCCAGCAAAGGAGCCAGAAAGAGCATTCTTCCATGGCTTCCACTTTGAGCTCCTGCTTGAGTTTCTGCCCTGACTCCCCTTAAAGATAGACTGACCTGTACTTTTAAGACAAATAAATCCTTTCCTCCCTTAAGTTGTTTTTGGTCAAAGTATTTCTATTTTTTTTTTCTTTTTTTGGTTTTTCGAGACAGGGTTTCTCTGTGTAGCTTTGGAGCCTACCCTGGCACTCGCTCTGGAGACCAGGCTGGCCTCGAACTCACAGAGATCCCCCTGCCTCTGCCTCCCAAGTGCTGGGATTAAAGGCGTGCGCCACCAACGCCTTTCACTACAACAGAATTCAAACTAGGACACAGACCCTATGTGACTTGGGGACAAAAGAGAAAACCCCGAAGCTGGGTTGATCCAAGAACCCTTCTGAAAATAAGTTCAGACCACCAATTAGACTGCTGGGGTTCCCCAAGAGACCTGGGAAGACAAAAGGATGTTCTTAGCCTGGAGACTGTGCCTTTTATACTAAAGACTTCTAATTCCTCTTCCTAGCCAATAACTATCTCACTTCAACTTCTCATCCTCTTCTTTCTGTTGTCTCCACTCCGGGATCTGCCAGGGTAATGAGATTTTCACTATGAAAGCCTTTTCCAGGGCCATTGACCTCTGGGACAGAGAGGACCTGTAGGAACTACCAGCCCAGTGATCCAGATTTCCCAGGGCAAAGCCCATATAAGAAGATTCGCTGAGAGGCTGGAGAGCTGGCTCAGAGATTAAGAGCACTGGCTGTTATTCCAGTGGTCCTGAGTTCAATTCCCAGCAACCACATGGTGTCTCACAACCATCTATAATGAAATCTGGTGCCCTCTTCTGGTGTGCAGGCAGAATACTGTATACTAAATAAATAAATAGAAGATTCACTGGGAACATAGCTCAATGTAGAGGCATTCGCAATGCCCTAGATTCAATCTCCAGTACAGCCAATATATGTATTGACATGGCGACTTGCATCTGTAACCTCAGCACTTGGAAAACTGAGCAGGAGGAGGCCTGAGACAGTAAGGGCCAGCCTGGGCTACACAGTAAGTGAGATCCCATAATAAATAAATAAATAAATAAATAAATAGTAGCTCTGACCGGGCATTGGTGGCGCACACCTTTAATCCCAGCACTCGGAAGGCAGAGGCAAGCAGATCTCTCTGAGTTCGAGACCAGCCTGGTCTACAAGAGCTAGTTCTAGAACAGCCTCCAAAGCAACAGAGAAACCCTGTCTCGAAAAACAAAAACAAACAAAAAAAAGTAGCTCTGTCAGTGGCAACTGGGTCAGAGAGACAGGCACTGTCACCAGCAGCAATCTGAGGAGTTCCCTTAATCTTTGAGGAAATTTAACACAAGTAAAACCCAGATCTTCTCCTACAACAGAAAATTTTAGGATGAACCATTAATGAAGCAAATTGGGGTTTATCTTGATGTAATTTACCAACGTTATGTTAGTATAAGAATATTTCAATATAGATTTTAAGCATTGTGTAAAGAGAAAGAGGCACTCCAGAAGCGAGACGCACCATTGTCTGTACAACAGCTGTGCACACTGTTCTGGTGGATTTTGAAGTTCTTATCCACAGAGTTGCTAAGAAACCTAAATGAATTCACAGGGTGGTTGGTATGGGCATCTGACAGGATTACAATTGATTGAATAAAAGTCTAGAATTGGGGATGCCAGAAGGCAAGAGATATTCACTGTAAACAAAGTAAGTAGTCTTATTTGTGAGGCCCTACCCCAAGGTCGCACACACTCAGGCACTAAGACACTCTTGTTGCTATTTTAACACCAAATACCTATATAGGAAAAGAATAGCACATGGGCAACTTTCACAGCAAGTGTTTATTGTGCTGAAATTCTCAAGCCTCAGACAGTGAGAGGCTTCAGCTTGTTTCTACGGAGAAAGGCTCCTTTCCCTTCTGTGTCCCTATAATTTTTCCTGTCTTTCTAGCCTACCTCAGTGCCAAACTTGCTTAAGGAGAAAGGGCCACAAAAAAAGCATATCAAATCAGTTTCTGAGGCTCCTATAGGTCATGTCTTGGGGGGGGGGGGGCATGTAGGAGCCAGAGATGAGCACAGTGACCCTTCCCACACAGCCAAGAACATCTCACAGCCACAGGGCACTGCCGTGTCTGCTGCCAGCGGCAGCAAAGATGGAGTTTTTATGTCTTTGAGCTTCATGCTTAGCCACCAATATGAATGCAAGGGCGTCCTCCAGAGCTCCAAAATGGCTGCCTCTCCAGCCTCTGAAGCAGGAGTGGGTATGAGCGTGCCAGAGAAGACATAAGTGCACACAGCCCTTCTCCTCTTATAGTCCTGTCTTCTTTAGAGTTATTTCTAGAGAAATCTCTGGTGGCCAGGACAGCTTTTAGATTGACCATTTGACCCTGTTTCCTGGGGACTGCTGAGTGCTTGAGATGTGAGCTTTCTGGGGTTATTTTGAGGGTGGTTTGGCTAGTATTCTTGCGCTCTTAGAGATCTACCCCTGAGCTATCTACCCAGCCCAACTTTCTGTTTTAAAAGTGAACAAACTGAGAAGAGCTGACTTTAATACAATATATGTGCTGTCTGTCCTTCCCACTCAGATAAAGCTAACTTTTCTCTAAGATTGCTTCTCAATTCTGAGCTGTGGCTCCGAGTGGCCACATAACGATGGCCAATGACCAAGAATCCTACTCCAGGAGGCCATTTGCCTTAGAAGATGCAATGGGTGTAACTTCTTCCATTACCGGCCTTTGGCCCAGGCATATGCAATGTGAAACTGTTTCCTACAGATGTTTCCTCCCAGGCCTTTGGAGATACCATTAAGACCAATGTGAGCCTTGCCTGGAGTATGTCAAGTTAACTGCTTGTCTCCTATAGTCCAACTCTGCCCTTCTGACCTTCCCCTGCCTGGTAAACTAAAGCCAGCACTGAGATGCACTTTCCAGTGAACTTCTTCCAGTGATAATAATCCTCTCAGGTCCTTTCCTCCACACAGCTGAAGATGCCTCACTTACCTCGGGGAAGAAAAGCAGCCAGTATCAGACCAGCCAGAATCCCGCTATGTTCCATCTTCCAGAGGAATTCATCCAACAAATAGAGGCAAGCTACAGAACGATCACCCAGGGTGAGAATTACCCTCCACCAATGGACTCATGGGTATTAAGAAAAAGGAAGAGTGGGGGAGGGACTAGAAGAAATCTGCCTCTTTACCTTTGATGATCGAAGGCTGTCAAGGCAAGAGTAGGCTGGGGGATGGTAAGAAGAAAACAGGTGCAAATTGCTCTTTCTGGAGCAGAGTTTGGGAGTAAAGGAAGAAAACTTAAGGCTTCCTATTGACAACACCACTACATTTACATTTATAACAAGAAAGTGCTACCTCTTCAAATCCATTGAGAGATCCTATGACCCCCCCATTACACATAAGCCACATTAGCAGTTCTTCCCACTCATTTCTGGCCAGTCTCAGGACCCATCACAGGGCAGTCTGGGGTAACACATCAAGCTGCTTCTAGCCAGAAGGACTTCAGAATCCCTCAGCTAGACATCTGAATCCTAGATCCAGTATGTAGTACCCACGGCACCAAGCATGGAGTATTGGTATCACTATAAGGATTTGAGGAGGGTTGTTTCCATGGTTCCTGGCACACCAAGCTTTCTCAGTATGAGATTCTTCTTAACAATAAACCCACTCACTTGCAGAATTGAGCCTCCCCAGCAAACAATAGACTTTTTCTACTACAGGCTGTGGGGATCTGAGACTTTCCATACTGCCACAGTCAGAAGGGCATCTTCCTAGGTTCAGAACTATGTTTCATGCCTGGTGTCATACAGAAGTTCTGTGTATTTCTATTACCCATTGACTGGATGAAATGAGACAATGGCCTGAAATTCTGGAAATAGCCCAGTGTTGTACACCAAGAAATATGCTAGCTGTCCTGTTGGGATGGACCTACCTCTTTTCAGGTAGGTACCACTTTGATGCTCTCAAATTGCCCATGAAGGTCTACAGTCAGATGCTTTTCCATTCCAAACTCTAGCCCTACACACCCAAAAGTCCTACCTAAATCCATTCTTGGATCAAGTGACAAACAAATCTAGTCCTAGTAACAGCTACAAACAGTCCTCAGCCCATTATGCAAAGAGGTTCTAAGGGTTTCCAATGGGAATCTAGAACTCTTGCTCTCACTCCCTGCTACCTGCCACCCTGAAAGTCTTAACAAAAAAAAAAGCAGTATGCCTGCTCAACAGCATCCCTGCTAGGGCCCCTGCTGCCCACATTTTAAGTAGAGGGTGGGGACACTGGGTCTTCCCTCTGCTCAGAGCCCCAGCTCAGAGGATGCTGGGCGGAGCCAGGCTAGCTGCTACACAGGCTGGCTAGCTGGCTGCTGAGGGACTTCCACACTTCTACTAGAGAGGAAAGAGACTGACATGGAGCTGGAGAAGGGACTGACCGGCCTCATCCTGGTCATCTTTCTTCTTCAAGGTAAGAGTTTACTCCAGGGTCTGACAGCCTGGGGAAGGCTCATGAGAAGAGGCCATGACCAGGGAGGCAAGGTGATTGGAATCCTAATTAACCTTGAGCCAACTTCATCTGTCCTCTTAGAATTCAAAGAAGGAGAGTCAAAACTGAAGCCTCCAGCTGTTCTTTTCTGGAAAGATGCACAGGGACCAGAGGGCTAACACTGGTTAGAGAGAAGATTGCACTGCCGCCATCTTAGGCTTGAATGTAGTTCAGAAGGGCCATGCAGCTGGGGTAATGACTCAGCCAGTAAGGTGCTTGCTTACCATGTAAGCATGGGAATCTGAATTCGATCCCCAGAACCCACTAACAATGAGGGTGTGGTGGCCACACTCTTGTCATTATAGTGCTGGGGAGGCAGAGACTGATGGATCCCAAGGCTTCTTAGCAGGTCAACCAGCCTCAACAATTCAATTACACACACGCATACACACACACACACACACACACACACACACACACACACACACACGGCCCAGACAAGGAAACTGGGAGAAAAGATTATATTCAGTGGACCTATGGAACATTTGTCCACAAAGCTATTTAACTGGTCAACAAGCATGGTGAGATCCAGACATTTAAGACTCCAGAGAATAAAAAGATTAACAAAAACCTTCTGTTCTCAAGAGTTCAGAGTGTCATTGGAGAGATGGCTTTCACTGCTGACACACTGAGTCCAAGGTACAGCATGAGAATACCTGTGTGATATATCCAACAGAAAGCAGGTGAATTAGGCTGATGCCTGCGTACCCTGGGGGAAGCTAAAGTCTTGAAGATTATCTTATTTGTTTGTGCGCTTGTTTGTTTTGTGTTTGTGTGTGAGGGTGCATGCATGCCACGGTGCATATATGGAGGTCAGAGGACAACCTGAAGGAACTGGTTCTCTCGTTTCAGTATGTGGGGCCTAGAATCAAACTCAGGTCACCAGGCTCAGCAGTGAGCACTTTTACTTACTGATCCATCACAATGTTCCTCCCTTCCTTCCTTTTTAACAGGGACTTACTATGTAGCTCAGGTTAGCCTCCAACTCAGAGGCAATCCTCTTACCTCAGCCTCCTGAGTGCTGGTGTTATAGGCATAGGCTACCATATCTAGCCAAAGGCCAGATAATTGTTGAAACTATAAAACTTTTTGTTTTGTTTTGGTTTGATTTTTTTGGTTTTTTGGTTTTTCGAGACAGGGTTTCTCTGTGGCTTTGGAGGCTGTCCAGGAACTAGCTCTTGTAGACCAGACTAGTCACCAACTCACAGAGATCCACCTGCCTCTGCCTCCCGAGCGCTGGGATTAAAGGCGTGCACCACCACCGCCCAGCTAAACTACAAAACTTTTTTGTGATTGCCAACAACACAGAATGAAGGCTGGAGCTGTGAGGAGCCAGGAGGATGAAATATTTGCTGGATGTAGCAGCATCTAAACTGAGTACTTTGGAGGTAGAAGTAGGAAAATCAGAAGTTCCAGGACAACCTGGGCTATATAGCAAAATCTAGGCCAGCCTAGACTGTATGAGTCCTGCCTCAAAACAACAACAACTGGCATAAAATGTTGAACATAATCCACTAATATAAGAATTTATTTAAATTTTAAACTTGTGGAATTTGGTGAAATGAAGATCATGGCTAATTAGAACCGTTTCAATGGAGCGGTGTGAGTGGATGCCAGACGGGTTAAAAAGAATGTGGAGGGTGGGTGATAAAGAGTAACAACCTTGCTGGAGAGGGATTTGAGTGAGAGGCAGAAGAGATGGGGTAAAAGAGAAATAGAGCATAACAATTGAAAAATGGCTGGGCAGTGACGGCACAGGCCTTTAATCCCAGCACACGGGAGGCAGAGGCAGGTGGCTCTCTGTGAGTTTGAGGCCAGCCTGGTCTACAAGAGTGAGGTTCAGAACAGCTGGTATACACAGAGAAACTCTGTCTCCAGAAGAAAAAAAAAAAGAATTAAATGGATGAACACATTTTTTTTTTTTTTTTTTTTTTTTTTTTTTTTTTTTTTTTTTTTTTTTTTTTTTTTTTTAGCTAAAGGAGATGGTGATGCATATAGCAAAGGTCTAGAGTAGATGTTGGAAAGATAGATGACTGGAGGGCAGAGTCAAGGGCACACAGAGGAAGGCAACAGTACAAGTGAGAGTAACAGAAAGCAGGTGCAACAGCTCTCAAAAGGCAGGCTTGTAATCAGACAGGAAGCAAGACAAGGCCACAACAGCACCGCTGCTCTCAAACAGGGAGGGGAGGCAGTGTCACTGAGGTGACACTATGTAGAAGACAGCAGAGTGGGAGACTTGGAGAAGATGGTGAGAGTGGAGAAGCCTTTCTGGGAGAAGATGGAGTGAGCTACAGACCACACAGGCTAAAGGGTGATCCTGTAGGTCAGCGGGAGGATTCGGGAAAGAACACCAGGTTGAGCAACAGTCCAGCTCAGCCACCAATAAGTCCTCTGAACCCAAGTCTCACACCAGTCAACTGGATATTTGGCTACATGGGCTCTTGAGTCTCAAGAGACCACACTCAGATAGGCAAATGTCAACAATGTCAGCAGTCACTGCCATCTCCTCTCCTGTTGACTTTGAGTAAAAGGAAGAGTCTCCTTGCTCTCTTACGATAACCAGGTGATTAGAGATAAGGGCTAGTGAAAATATTTTTTTAGGCGCCATAGAGATGGCTAGTGCTTAAGAACATACTACTTTTGCAAAGGACTGGGGTTCAATTCCCAGCACCCACAAGATGGCTCACAACTGTCTGTAACTCCAGATTGGGATGTTCTCTTCTGGCTTCCACCAACCCCAGGCATGCATGCAGCACACATATACACATCAAGAAAAACACCCCCTGCACATAAAATAAATCTTTAGAATAATCATATGTTTAACTGATGTGTCCATTTACCCCACTCACCCCCATAACCATCCATCTGGCAAATTAAGCTCCTTCCATGTTCTAGGCAGTGTGCTGGTGTCATTCACACACAGCGTCAGTCTGCAGAAGTTTGTAAGGCAGTTGATGCTTCCAACTACTTCCGTTATGCTTGGGCCAATGACTGGCTCCCTCATCACTTCCCTACCCTCTTCCCTATCTGTGTCTTTAATTGACTATTTTTTTCTACGCAAAATGCCTTTCCCTATTTGGTGCGCTTTTACTTGTTTTACAAGTTTTCTTGAGCAGAATCGATTATTTCTCTTTTCTTCTCCTCTCCTCTCCTTTCCACTCCTCTGCTCTCCTTTTGCCTCCTTCTCCCTCACTTTTTTGAGTCAGGGTATCACTGTTGTATCCTGGCTATCCCAGAACTCAATATGTAGACTTTCAGAGATCTGTGCACCTTGCCTCCCAAAGGCTGGAATTAAAGGTGTGCACCACCACACCTCCCTCTCTCATATTCTTATGAGTTTTATTACTTTTGGGGGGGGGGTTGAGACAGGATTTCTTTGTGTAGCCTTGGCTCTTTTGGAACTTTCTCTGTAAACCAGGCTGGCTTCAAACTCACAGAGATTCACCTGCCTCTGTATCCTGAGTGCCAGGATTACAGGTGTGAGCCACCACCACCTGGCTGAATTTCATTAAATTCTTAAGACAGCCGCCCCAGGATATCCTCCATGGACAGTCTACTTTCTGACAGCCCAGCCTTAGTTATTATGTCTTACTACCTGTAGTAAGGCCCATGCAACTGTCACCATAGCAAAAAGGCACATCACTACATTCTACATGGGTAAGGACAGCCATGTTGGAATTGCTCCCATGATGCTCTACCTTCAGATGGCTCAATTGCATACCTTACTAATCAAAGCAAGAACCATGAAATTATTCCTCTCAAGCCCTTTGGTTCTACCATGCCCATGTTTGAGCACCAAATTGTGTGCTAACTTTTTCCTGGAGAGACATGAATAATCTAGTCACTTCAGGTAAGACACTGATGCAGATCAAAATAATAATTCCACTGATGTCCCGCTAGTGAATCAGTTTAGTTGGCTTATTACAGAGGAAGAGTGGAAAATTCATTGAAAGATTGTGGGTAGCCTCAAAAAGCTGCATCACCCCATTACAGATACCAAACTCATAGAAGCTGCATTGTGGAGTCTCCTATTATCTTTCATATACATTTGTATAAGCACTGGGGTTAGTAGCAACTTCAAAAATCCTCATTTTCACCGGGCATTGGTGGTGCACGCCTTTAATCCCAGCACTCGGGAGGCAGAAGCAGGCAGGATCTCTGTGAGTTCCAGACCACGCTGGTCTACAAGAGCTAGTTCCAGGACAGCCTCCAAAAGCCACAGAGAAACCCTGTCTCGAAAAAACAACAACAACAAAAAATCCTCATTTTCTAGATGGTAAAACATAACCAGACCCATCTCAAATCATCTCCTTAGCATAAAGTCAGGGTAGCCAAGAGTCTACCATGAACAACAAAGGCACACTCATCACTCAAGAAATCCCAAAGATTTAGAAACCCCCACCAAGAGGGGCTAGAGAGATGGCTAAGCAGTTAAGAGCATACTGCTCTTGCAGAGGACCAGAGTTTAGTTCCCAGTATCTACACCAGGCAGCTCACAACTATAACCCCAGCTCCAGGGACCTGATGCCTGTGGCCTCAGCAAACAGCTGAACTCTCACGTACACATGGACTTGTTCTGATGTCCATACACAGATACACAAAACTAAAAATAAGATAAATATTAAAGAAAGAAAGCAAGTCCCATCCAGAAAGGTAAGACAAAGAGAAAACACAGTAATGTTTAATTCAGTTTGGTGATTTAGGCTATATCCAGGAAAGAAAACACAGATATAGCTACTGCTATGGACTAGTATCTCTTTTGATATTGCCCTCAAATGACCATGTGAATACCTTGGCCCATCAGAACATCAGAACCTATACCCAACTGATTCTTTACCTTCCTTTTATCTTTCCAGGTACTGTGGCCCAGTCAAAACAAGGTAAGAGAAATGGTTTCTCTCTATTCTCAAATTCTGAGGAACTCCATAGAAATATGGCTTACTACAACAGTAGTCTTAAGGACTAAGGAAATAGCTCAGCAATCAAGAGCACGTCTTACTCTTCCAGGGGACCTAAGTTCAGTTTCTAGCACCCACATGGGATGGCTCACAACTCCAGGATACACAGCACCCTCTCCTGGCCTCTGTGAGTACCTATACATATACAACACACACACACACACACACACACACACACACACACACATTCATTTTTTAAAAGCCAATAGTCTCATAATTTAGAAAGGGAACTATTTTGAAAAGATGAGCTGACATTTTCATTATCAATCAATGTCCCTAGGGCAACTTTCCTAGACCTAAGCAATGAATTGTCTTGTTCTTTCAGTAGAAACAGGATCCTAGTAACTATGCATGTCTTAAAATATGGCTGAACCAGCAGCATTAGCATCATCTAAGAGCATGTTAGTAATGGATCTCACCTCCCCAGAACTACCAAATGAGTCCTGAATTCTAACATGATCCACATGTGATTTGCATGCACCATAACCATGGAGAGACAATGTTCTAATGTCTTCTGGTGCAATCACAAAGACCCCTAACAGAACCACCACTTTTTCCTTTTTCAGAAAGCCATTTGGTAAAAGTGGATGACAATCGAGGAGATGGTTCTGTGCTTCTGACCTGTGACTTGAAAGACAAGACCATCATGTGGCTTAAAGATGGGAACACAATAAGTACCCCCAATGCAACTAAAAACACGTGGAATCTGGGAAGTATTACCAAAGACCCTCGAGGCACTTTTTGGTGTCAAGGAGCAAAGGACAAGTCAAAGCCACTCCAAGTGTATTACAGAAGTATGTAACCCTTTCACAAAGTTTGTTGGGAATTAAGCAGTGCATACTGTTCTGGTGGGCTTACCATCTAGGACGAGGTGGGAATAGATGCTAAACAGTGATTTATGGTAGTAATAATAATAGCTAGTTCTCTTTGTGTGGGCTTACTGCTCTTTATATGGACACTTCCTGTGGCTTCTTGGGAAAGCACAGCCCTTTACAACCTGCTTAACCTTTGGTTGTTCCTCGTGGATTAGAGCAGTTCAGCAAATAAATCAGTTAGGAGGAGGGGACCCAGGATTGGTGTGCAGAGGAGAGGAGGAGAGCAGGGTTGTTGAGACTGGAGACTAGATTTTCTTCCTCCTCCTCCTCCTCCTCCTCCTCCACCTCCTCCTCCTCCTCCACCTAGTTCTTGATTATAGGACTGTTTAGGCTTCCCAGGACTTCTCACAGAGGAACACTGGGAAGCAGCAGTTCTTGGGGCAAGGATTCTCTATTGCCATACCACACATAGAGGGAGAAATCTGCTGCCCAGGGCAAAGGCAGTGGTGCTGATGGGTGGGAGAAAGGAAAAATGCAAGAATGCCTTACATCCTGAAAGTCTGTCCCTCCCTGTGTCTTGTTCCCCACAGTGTGTGAGAACTGCATTGAGCTAAATATAGGCACCATATCCGGTTTTATCTTCGCTGAAATCATTAGCATTTTCTTCCTTGCTGTTGGTGTATACTTCATTGCTGGGCAGGATGGAGTTCGACAGTCAAGAGGTAAATAAAAAAAAAAAAAAAACCTAGATGGGGAAAAAAATGCATGAAATCCTAGATACTTAAGAATCTGAGGCTGGAGGGCCCTGAGTTCAAGGCCTGCCAAGGCAACAGAGCAATACCTTGTCTTAAAATAAAATTTGTAAAGATATACCTCAGCTAGTAGACTTCGTACCTAGTTTGCACAAGGCCCAAGATTCAACCCCCAGAACACACAACCCAGATGTGGTGGCGTATGCCCATAATCCCACCACTCAAGAGATGGAGGCTAGAAAATCAGAAGTTCAAGGTCATTTTTGGCTACATAGAGAGTTTGAAGCCATCCTGGTCTACATAAGACCCTGTCTCAAAATGAAGAGGAGGCAGCTGGAGATATGGCTCAGCTACTAGAGCATCTGCTTAGCTTACTTCAAGCTCTGAATTGATTCAGTCCCTAGCATGGAATAAAACTGTAATCCCAGCATTTGGGAGGTAGAGATAAAAGGATCGGAAGGTCAAGTTCATTTAAAGCTACATTGGCCGGTCTAGGCTACATGAGACCCTATCTCAAAAAATCACATAAATAAATAATAAAGGGATGTAGCTCTGTGTAAAACACTTATGTGGCTTGTGTGATGCTCTGAGATCATTACTATGTTCTGGAATTAGAAAGAAGTAAAAGACTGTCTTGAGTTGAGAAATGGGACCAACTAAAGACCCATGACTTCCTTCTTATCAAAACAGACCCATTGGGGAGACTGAGTTGGTGTATATTGCTAATGTTCATAATTGATGGCCCCATGTCTCTGTGGGGCAGGAAAAAAAGACATTTCTTATTATCCCAGCATATTTGACTAACCTAATCTAGCCTCTTTTTTCTTGTCCTTCCTTCCTACCTTCCTACCTTCCTTCTTTCTCTCTCTCTTTCTCTTTTTCTCTCTTCCTTCCTTTCTTTCTTCCTTTCTTAAATGTCTTTCTTTTTCTTCTTCTTTGGTTGTTGTTGTTGTTTTGTTGAGACAGGGTCTTGTAAGGTAGCCTTTACCTTTACAAGAACTCATTAAGTAGCTCAAATCCCTGGTGTTTCTCCCAAGGAGTGAGATTATTGATCATTCTCGGTGTTTTAATACTTTACTGAAGACAGGCATAATGGCATATGCCTTTAATCCCAGCACTTCAGAGGCAGAGGCATGTGGATCTCTGTGAATTTAAGGCCAGTGACTATATATCAAGTTCCAGGCCAGCTAAGGGTTACATAGTGAGACCCCGTCTCAAAAAACAAAATTATTTATTGAAGCCAAGTGTATTGGCTCACATCTGTAACCCTAGCACTAAGGAAGCTTAGATAAGAGGATCCCCTCAAACTTGAAGCTATCCTGGTCTACATAGAGAGTCCCAGGCCATCCAGAATTACATTGTGAGATCCTGTTCTGAAGAAAGAAAGAAGAAAGGAAACATTCTTTTAAAAGAAAATCTTGTGTAACTGTACCTTGTGCCTCTGATTCACCTGCTTCTACCTTCCAAGTGCTGGGATCACGAGTATATGCAACAACACCCTGTACATGCAGTTTGGAGACCAAACTCACACATGCTAAGCACTCAACCAACTGATCTGCATGTCCAAGCCCCCAAGAAGGCTTTTATTGAAGTAAAACTGACATACACAAAAGTGAATCACAAGAATACTGCTAAAATAAATCTAACAAAGCAAACGTATGTGTACATCTG